TTTATTTTAATAAACTGATTTAAAACTTGTCCTTTATTTGTCTTCCAGCCTCTCAGGATTCTTTGGCTGTGACTGTGGAGGTTCAGGAGGGGGAACCGTCTGTCGTTCTGCCCTGTCAGATCAGCAAAACATTAGAAGACATTGTTACAGTGAAATGGAGTCGCTTTGATCTCAATCCCAACACTGTCCATCAACGGGACGAAGCAGACGACCTACAGGGACAAAATCAGGTTTTCAGAGAAAGAACTTCAATGATACCTGATGCTCTGGACTCTGGTGACTTCAGCCTCACTCTGAGAGAACCTCAACTTTTAGACAGCGGCATCTACATCTGCAGCATGACTGAGAATCAGGAGGAAACAGCTCTGTCTGGCGTTCAGCTGCATGTCAAAGGTCAGCTACCTTTCACACCTCCCAGTTATTAAAACCAGTTGTTTCCTGGTTTGTAATGTCTAATAAATAATCTTGGTTAAATATGGTCACTCAGCAACCATTGAGCTGATTTATGGTCAGGGTTTTGGCAAATGATTTTCATGAAATAAAAAACATATCCGAGTAAAAAATATGTTTAACTGAACAGTGATAAAGTCGAGTCATCAAGCTGACTGAACTATGTTTCCTAAAACATTTTTTATATAGATTTTTTTCAGTTTTCAATAATTATTCAATGACAGATATCCTGTCCTGATAATCATCCTGTAGTTGGCAGATAAACTAATTCAACTGTCAGAGTCTTCATCATCTATTAGTTAAATATCTCATCACTTCCTTATTTGTGGATTCAACTTATTTTTGCTGAAATGTATCAGATTCTACTGGTGGGAACTTATTACATGGAGACATCAGCAGTAAAGATAACTGATATAACCTCCAGCTCCTCCCAATGACATTTATTTACAGTCCAATTAGGTTCTAGTTGTGATAGAAAACAAAGAAAGCAGGTTTATCTAACGAGATCCAGCTAATGATATTAAGTTGCTGACTTCAGACTCATTTTGAGCAGAACCTGAACAGGGTGGAATAAAAGAGAAGAATATTGGTTTTTACCATGTTGGGGGAAAAACCCCTAAAGTAATTCTGTAGGCAGGGAGCCCAGTCCTATCCAAGGTACCTGTTAGTTTAGCTAGGCTTAATGTAAAAAGATGTTATAGATGAGGGGGCGCTGTTCAATCAGAGCCTCTCTCTGCTGTTCAGTCTCAGTGGCCTTGACCAATGTGTTGAAATACCTTCTTCAGGTTGGCAAACTGTGTAATCCCCACACTCCAGTTGTACCAAATGTACTGACTGGAGGGGAAAAAATAATAGTTTAATCAAATACAAATAATACGGTTGTTGGCTAGCAGGGATAGTCTAAAGCAGTCTTTCTCAAACTGTGGTCCCTGGACCACTGGTCCATGAGGACCACTAGAGGGCGCCGCTAGTGGTACTGCATGTAATTACTACCGTTTATTTGCCATGCTGTGAGCTCAAAGTGTGACGCTACAGCTAGCTTACCAAAGGACTGTGTTAAAAATAATAATGGAAAACTGGCTTTAGACCAAGTCACTCAAAATGAAAGAAAAGCTTCAGAAACCGGTGGAAAGAAAACAACTCCAGGACTATTTATATGATCAGAGGAAGCAGAATCACAGTTGCTGACTGTTGATGTGTATTTCACTAGCGACTGGATTCCTTTGAACGGCTCTATGGGGTGAGCGGTAGGACTCGTCTCAGTTAGTGAGAACTTTTCTATGTTTTTCTGACTTTGCTTGCTTATGATGCTCTGCTTACACGTCTACAGCTATTGTTGTTTTTATTTAATTAGAAATTATAAAATTAATTAAATACTACAAATAAGTACAATTGATAGTAATTGATGGATTGTTTTTGATAGTAAAGGAAACTTTTATTATGTGTTTGACATCATTGGAAAGCTGACACTTTCAGAATCTGTAAATAACTCAAAATCCCCAAGTAGACCTGTTTTTTGTCGTGGCCAATCACATTTACCAAATAGCACCACTTTTCTCATTAGGATGAACAAAGAAAACCACAACACGAGTCAAGAGATGAATATTTTAATTTCTGGGTTGCATTATATATTAAGATGTGTCATCATGGGGGCAATTTCAGGTTAGGTGGTCTGTGACTGTTTGTTAAACGATCCTCAGCCTGAAAAAGTTTGACAAACTCTGGTCTAAAGGAATCCAACAAATAGGAATCAATACTAATGATGACATTACCACTCCAATGCTTACAGTAAGCTGGGGCGGACGGGAAATGTTTTGTTGTCGTTGAATAACAGTTGCATTTCCAAAGGGCTACTGTTAGCCTATCAACTGTTCTTCACATAACAATTGATATGCTGAAATTGTGAAAGTGATTCTTTTTCTGGATTTCATTAACTGGAGTTTTTCCCTATTCCGTCATAATAACCCTGCCAAAAGTAGTAATGTAGCAAACTGGGAGCGTTTTGTATTATGTAGTTAAATGGTTGAAAGAAAAGTGTCTAATATTTAAGTGTATTCATTTTAACACACTGATTAAAAAACATTTATTCTGTCTATTTGTCCTTCCAGCCTCTCAGGATTCTTTAGATGTGACTCTGGATGTTTATCAGGGGGATTCATCTGTTGTTCTGCCCTGCCAGAGTAAATCATTAGAAGGGATTCTCATCGTGAAATGGAGTCGCTTTGACCTCAATCCCAACACTGTCCATCAACGGGGAGAAGGAGACGACCTACAAGCTCAAAATGTTCTCTTCAGTGGACGAACATCAATGAGGTCTGATGCTGTAGATGTTGGAGATTTCAGCCTCACTCTGAGAGAACCTCAACTTCTAGACAGCGGTGTCTACATCTGCAGCCTTCGTCAGGAGACGGGAGAAGAAATGCTGTCAGGCATTCAGCTGAATGTCAGAGGTCAGCTAATTAGATGTACCCACACACATGCACAGTATATATCCAAAATTATTGTGTAATTAATCATTTGGGTCATAACCAATAATTGATTTCAGATCTTTCAATCACTTGTTTTGCTGCAGGTATAAAATCCAGCATGTAAACATTCAGGTTATAACAAACATTAGCAACAAGACGCTCTGAGAAGCTCAGTGGATTCTAAAGTGGCATCTTGATAGGATCTAATTCAGGTTCAATTCAGTTTATTTATAGAGCACCAAATCACAACAAATTCTGTCTTTTTGTGTTTTTTGCAAAAAAAAAAAAAAAAATCAGTCATACATACCAATTCATTCTGGATATTAAACAGTTCATTAAGTTCAGTTTATTATTCAGATTAGTTTAAACATTTTCTTTCTAAGGAAACCCAGCAGATTACATCAAGTTACTGACAGGATGAATCTGTGGAATGAGTCTGATATATTCTCTCTATTAAATGTTTTACTTTAGTGATAAACTGAAAGAGACTAAGAATGACAGACAGCAATATGTACCGATAGATCAGCAATCTAAATGTTTACAACACAAGTCTGGATGTCCAGATATGAGTTTTGATATGGATGTTATGAACAACACATCATGATTTTCTTATGATTCTCCACTCTTGATGGTTTATGCTTCAGTTGTTTTATGTCTTCCAGAGATTGTGAGCTAAAGGGCTTTGCTGGACACCAGCATGATCACACAGGGTGAAACTGGTTGTATTCATCCTGAAGTGACATTAGAGATGTTTGCTGAATGTGTTGAGTCAGTTTTCACTCTATTATTGAGTGGTTTGCAGAAGTCTGGACCAAAGTCATGAGTCTTAGGATCGAGTCAGACTGGAGTCACAAATTATAAAACTGTGAAATTGACTTTCACACTAAAATCTCATGGCTGGACTTTAGTTTCAACACTGATA